AGCTGTGCCTTTGAGCGGATGTTGAGTCGGCGGGGTTGCCAAAGCCTGCCCTCGCCAAGAGGCTTCTCCCCAGAGAAGCTGTTTGAACCCGAAGCGGCAGAGCGGACAAGAAGGCCGCTTGAAGAGGCTATCATGGCAAGAGTTGCCACGCTGCACTATACTACTTGCTGCACACCAGGCCGCCACTTTTCTCTGACCAGACCAGCAAGCTGCTGAAAAAGACAACTGCGACTTATCACCTCCAAGACAGATCAGCTGGGGTCACTGATCAGGACCCTGTAGAAAGGGATCTTTCCCAACAAGCTACACTCAATGCGGCGGCCGCGCCCCGCAACGAGGGCGGGAAAACCGCGTGTCCGGCCGGAAGCTTTGCTGGCCGAGTGAAAGTCGCCTCCGGCCCCATAGGAAAGACCTTCCAACAACATCTTTCAACATCGAGCCAGCGTGTCCAGTGTCCGCCGGCAGTTCTCGCTGCCTGATGCCGAGGATTGCCACATACTTCCAAAGGCCATATGCCACCTTCAAAGACGATGTTGGAGCGGGCTGCCTGGACTTGCTCCGCGTCTGCGCGCACATGAAGTCAGACGAGTGCCACCTTGGCATCTATGATCCACCTTCACTTCGGCGACCGACTTGCCCATGGGCTGTCCGCAACAGTGATCTCGAGTCATGTTCCCCAGCAGCCTGGAGCCATGAAGAAGAGACAGGGTGGAAGGATCCCAGCTGTCATGAAACTTCATGTCTATCTCCGGCAACGTGTGGCAAGTTGTCGCTAACTCGCTGCCGGAGCTGTGCTTGCATCTCCAGGATGGCCTGGGGCTGCAGGAGATGGCTTCTAAACATGTCCTGCTGGTCCAGGAGCATGGACGAGAACGAGTATGGCAGTGTGAGTCACTGTGGCTATCCTTTTAAAAAGCATGTGTATGTTAGTGACTCTTGCCTACGCACAAGCCTGCGCCTCGGCTCAGTTACCTATCTATTATCGGCATCATGTGGGAAAGAAAACGCAACAGACGAGAAACTCGAAGAAAGAAGCCTGAGAGCCTACAGCAGCGAATAATAACGATATTAGAAGAAGCCAAAGAAACAGTAGAAACAGGAGCATATCGAACAGCGAAGAAGGAGCAGGAAGCAGGCGAACAGAAGGAGCAGGGAACCGGGGAAGGACCACACTTGAGCTACGCCTCTTGTAACAGGGACATTGGCAAATTGCGCATGACGCAAAAATTACACTGGTGATTACTAAGTACGCCAGGCTATGTCTATCATAGAACATCATACATATATACGTGCATATCTCGTGTGTTGCAGATATCACGTGAGTTACCTATATTCCATTCACTAACCTTGTTCTGCACTTGCTACATCAACAGCGTTCGTAATTTGCACACACATATGTACATACATAACTGAATGCATGTGTTCGTCTGCATGTATATATATATATACACACACACTTATGTCTGCCACTGTAGAAGCTGTATTCACGAATAACAGTAGCAAAGTACGTTGCGGGGCTCATTGTCTGATGTCTGACCTGCTCTGGTCGGTCATTAGTGCTTGCCTGTGTGTGCGTCCAAACTACAACACACATATAAAATAACTTCAACATTGTCAACTATAGCTTGTTCAACACATTGTTGGTATTATTGTTATGACACAGTATGTACCTTATGCACACTACGTGAACCTTGTACATGGCGCATATCTTATATGGCGTGTATTGTCGCGTCTAAAACATGCGCTGTGTGTCTAAAGCATGTGCTGTAAGCTGTGTACATGTACACTGTCATACATAAGATAAGATCATGCAAATAAGATTAAAACACATATCAAGTGCGCATGTCGGTACGGCTTTACTGCACTGCTGTCCTGTCTCTTATTGTTGGTATGTGTGTACGTGTATATATATATGTATGTATACATGTACAGACATACATACATACATACATACATACATAATCATACATATGTGTGTGTGCGTGTGCAAATGCATCATAATGGACTCTGAAGCATCGACTCCTACTTCCCACTGGTTATATAGTATAACAGTATGCATGAGACGTGCCGGGCCTCACAACTTTGGGCCGCCGCCTCCGCAGAGCGCCTCTTCTCAAAGGTCACGCTGCGCCAGAGGGCGTCACACTCATCGGTCCTTGGCGGGCTACAATATTGCAATCAACATAGGAGTATGTAACAACTGGCAGACTCCTGGAGAGTGTTTGGTCCGAGCCCCATCACATACAAAAACAACGTCACGAAGGGACGAGGGTCAAGTGTGAAGCCATTTCTTCCAATCTCGAGACCTGCACGGCAGACGGCTTGATTTAACCAATTATGCCCCAATTGTGCCCGTGGCTGTCTTAGGGTCTCGGGGCAAAGGCGTGGGACAGCTCACATTGCGGTTTTTTGCGAATGTCGAGGAAAGAGACTTGGATCCTGGATTGTGAACCCTTGACCAGAGGTAGACCATCAAAAATGTTTCATTTGACTAAGTCTCATCTTCACCTCCTGGGTCTTCTCGTCCTTCTGCGCCTGCACCTCAGTCTCGCTGGACTCTGGGCTTCGATACCACAGTTCCGTTGCGCTGAAGCCTGTCACTTGTCAACTGAGATCGAATTCAACAGAAGCGATTTTCAGTCACGATTCTATGCATTCCTGCAAATCAGACACATTTGGGCGCTCAAGCCTACCCAAGCTTTCCCGCTCGGCCATGATCCCCTGCCTGCTGCTCCTGCAACAGCTCCGCCCGCAGCGACTGCACATTCAGAGCTATGGCCTTCCGGCATCTGAGATGTTTTAGACTTCACTCCAATGGCACCGGCACAAGGTCCAGGAGCTTCCGACGAGTTGTCAGTGAAAGGTTTCTGCGTTTGATAGTGGCAAGCCCAAACCTACCGCAGTACCTGTGTTTTACCCGCCGTCACAAAGCTTCGGAACTTAAAGCCCGAGATACTCCCACGTCCGGACGGTCGGACAGACCTCCTCAATGCCAACGGATATAAAGTAGCTACTTACCTCTTTACCAAGGAAGGTCACAGCGCCTCCTTGGTGTTCTGTTGCTCCTCTTGTGAACGTCTGCCGCCGGCCGATGGCTCCCGGGCCGGCTCCCTGAGAAGACAACAAAGCACACGGCCTTGTAGCTGTAGCTTCGTATCTATTTCGCGCAGTTGCAGCGGCAAGTGCGTGATCCGGAAAACTTCCTGCTGGAGCTAGCAGATGGCCAGTTGCTCTGCGTCAGAAACGGGGTTTAAAGAATCTTTCCTAGACAAACTTTCCAGACCAAGGTATCTCATTAATAAGTCTCCCCAGCGCTATGACAGCGCAACCCCTGGTGCCTACAAAATTCCCGACGTTTACCTCACAATGTTGGTTTTAGATACCAATTTTTCAAGAGACGAAGACTTCGCTTGTCTTCGCAAGTACGTTGGAGTGCTCCCCGGCAACATCGCCTACACACGTAGTTTATTGTCAGCTCTACGTACTTTCTGGGTCAATCTAAAGCGGTCATCGGTATAAAGCTGCGGGACTCCGCAGTGATGCACGCTGCCCACACTGTGGAACTGACGAGTCACACATACACATGTCGTTTTGTGAGTGCCAAAATCTCGAAGACTCATGCCCAACGAGGGGCGGCGAGCCTTTGATGTCTTGGCTTACCGGAATAATTTTGGAACCCGCTTTACCTCGCCCTCGAACGGCTCCTTTGAGCCAGTGGGTGCTGCCTTCAGTGGCTGAAATTGGCAGCCGCGTTCGGAAGTATTCGTTGATGGCAGTGTTACAAACGGTCTCCCATAAGAGCCGGTGCGGCGAAAGTCGGAGTGCCTGGTCAGTTCAAGCCGACAGTGGCCCTTAGCGGTTCTTCTGTTACTGCAAGACATGGACAGTTTGGACGCCTCAGAGCACGTGAGTGAGTGAGTGGTTCTTCTGTTAATTCGTTTAGGCGGGAGCTGTTTGCCGCAATTCTTGTTTCCATGTAACAGAAAGTGACATTACTACCCTAGCGTCCGATTGCGCCGGTGTCCTGCATCGAGCAGAGTTCTTGAAAGCTCGGGGATTTCAGAGGGATTGCACTCTCTGCTTTGAGAATCCTGATCTTTGGGATCTTTTCTTGCATGTCGCTAGGACCCACCACAGTAGTATTCGCTTTAACACAGTAAAAGCCCATACAGACGGCAAGTCCTCGCAGCCTTCGGCACTTACGGAGGGCAATGCAGCAGCTGACGCCCTGGCAAAATCTACTGCCAAAACGTTTTCATCTAGGCTAGTCGTTGACTATATGCCATTCTTACACAACGCGATTGAACTCCAAGTTCATCTTGTCACTACTCTTGGCGTCGTTTGACGAGGCTGACGCTCCAATGACACCCCTAACTACACCGACTGCATGTGAACCTTTGACACGTCTTTTCAGTAAGCGTTCACGCAAGTTCCACAAAGCATGTCGCCTAATCGAGCATGCGGTTTTAGTCGGTCAGGTTGAGGATAAGGTACTTGCTTTATGTAGATCCGGTCAAGCCATTCCTGACAACTTGATGCAATGTTTGTGGCAAAGATATGTCTCCTTCTCTGCCAATGTTACCCCGAATGTGCCTCATTTTCATAGTCATCCGGATCTAGATTTTCATGTTTTGGCTAAAGGAAGGAGTCGTATTCCCAATAATGCAGCTCAAGCCCTTGCATCCTTTTTGAGCGAGAGCAGATGGGCTCCTAGTCTCACCGCAGACGCGCCGCAAACACTGTGCCTGTCGGTTCTCATCGAGTTTCTGTCCATTCATGGGTTCTTTCCTGGTTGGTTAGTGTCTGGTATCTCCGCTAGCATTCTTATCTCGTGTTTCAGGTCTTGCTTTGAGAAACTTTGCAAAGCCAATTCAATCTCCTTGGTTTCAGCATCACAAACTCGAACAGCAGCATCTTTTGGCATGAGAAACCTCAGCGGATGTTACGGGTCTGTGCTCTGCAAGAACGTTCAGCATCACCCTTTCGTCATGTTGCAAGCCGGCTTGTTCTGCAACCAATTTACTCCAGATGGTTCCAAGCGTTTTTGCCTGACCTTTCGCAGTTCCGCAAGATTCCGCACCGTCAATGACTATCCTTTTCGTTAAATTTGCCGAATCGGGCTTTACCTTAGCGTCGTCGACAGGTCGCGGCCTTACACACACAGTGCAGCAAAAAGTTTTGATCCGGTTCAAGGTTTGGGGTCTACAGAATTGAGGCAGTGGGCGAGCGGGTGGGGGTTGGTTGATCACAGGGATGGTCCTTTTCATCATCTTTTTGGTATCGTAGTAGTTGAGAGAAATTATGCCAGCATACAATGCAAGAGCACCTGCCAGTCTAAGCTCCAAAATCCCAAGAAGAGCTCCAAAAGCACCCCGAGGCTCCCAAGATCCAAGATTAGCCCGCCAGTGGAAGATGCGGACCAGACTGCGGCGGGTGCACGATTGCTGTGCGGACTGTGGCTGGAATCGATTATTGCAAACAGGCACAGCACTGCAGAAAGGGCACGATTGCGAGATGTGGAAATTCCAAAACTGCTTGGCTTACTACGAACGGACGAGTCGAATAGCATGGCCCTGCCCGGACTTTGCCGACTTCGGGCGATTTGAAGGCCAAAATGACACGGACCACGGGGGTGTTTCTGTGCCGGGTGGGACTGCGGAAAGGGAGCGGCTTTTCCTCGAAGATGTACTCCCGAAAACAGCGATGTAATCCCGTTACACAACTCGGAACATGAGAACTCAATAGTGTCACACGTCGTTTTGGAGAACAGAGTATGGCTGGCAAACTTTCACATGCCTCATTTGACCTGTCAACTGGAAACCGTCACCTTCCAAACATGATGTCAATGATGTCAGGCATGAACACTGACTACTCTTGAGCCAAGGCCAGTAACGAAGGTACTGGCCAAGAACGGCTCAACCATCTTGCTGTGAGGAAATCGACCCAAAAACAGTCCGGTTGACTTCTAGGACCTGTAATGCGTGTAGGTTCCTCCAGGGCCCCTGAAATCCAACGGATTTAGACTTTGAAGTCAACCAGCCCAGGAAATATCAATCTACTCCTAGAATTTCTGGAGCATGGCTTCAGAAGCGAATTCAAAGACCAGGGTTACAGAGCAGTGGACATGACATCCTGTGAACCCAACATGCGACCACGGCACCTCAGAATGGTGCCGGACTCGACTGACTCCACAAACTTACTCCGTAGCTGCGCGATCTCTGCCTCCAGCACCTCCGTGGTTAGCACGTATTAGCACCAGCACCCAACCAAGCACTGAATGGACAGAGATCTGTACTTGACGTCGCAATCTGCAAAGGTGGGTTCAAAAAGATCAATCAGTTCTAGATCGAGACGTGACATACCAAACAAAATGCCGGACAATTCTGCTTGCCCATGACGACAGAAACTAAAGTAGATCAGGTCAATCAATGTTGCTTGTTGCTTCTGCCTGGGCTTCGATAGCACGCCTGATTGTTGCACGGCGAATGAAGGCAAGCAGATGCAAGCAGTGTAGACCTTCACCTCTTTTACTGGCAGCCTGCACCTCGATTGGGCATCCCTCACGCCTAGCCGACTATGGGTTTGAATCTGCTCGCTTGCAGCGAAAACTCGGGACCTAGTACTGTGCTTCCTTTCGCTCGGCTTGCAGCTGGCGTGCACCATTTAGTCACTATGTACTGCCTAAAGCCCTCAACCTCACAGCCCTGCGCCCCCAAAAAGACCTCCCTGCGCTCGGCCGTCTCGGCAGTCAGGCGACGGAGAGTTTGATCGGAGGATGCCAGCATGGCCTTCGGGTTTACGGTTCACGGCTTCCTAAGCATTTTTGGGAATGCTAGTTGTTGGGGTTTGCGGATATAGGGATCCATGTCCATGCTCGGGCGCGAGCTCCGTTTAGATGCTGCGCAACGAAGCATGCCAGTCGCGGTGGCTTTGCGTATCGACCACATTTTCTACTGATCTGTCTGTCGACCTCCCCCCAAAAAAAACAAAAACACATAATATATAAACGAATATAATGTAATATAACATAAAATAATATGTTATATTATGTAAATTTCATTATGTACTGCGATTACTACTGCTCCTGCTCCTGCTGCTGGTACCGCT